TTTTAAGCAATCAAAATATCTGTTCATATACAAGTTGAAGAAGTATAAATACACTTTGCTAAAGGATTAAATGCACTATGGTTTATACCACATAAGATCCGGTCAGATTTTAATTTGTTCAGACACAAATGTGTAAAATAATGATCTATACTACTGAAAATATGGAAGGTTTAGCTTGAAAAATAATCGAACAGATTTTCAATATCATAATTTGTTCTTAACACATTTCTTTAAACATTCCAGCCACAATGTTGGTTTGCAAAATATCTAATTATAAAAGTTCTTTATTACCAACTGTTTCATGATCTGATGTCAGTCAACTTTAAAGGTAAGAGCATGATTTAGTGCTTTTCTAAACTTTTGATATAGGTAAACATTCTAATTTCTTGCCTTCAAGCAAAGTTATGTTCTACTTTTCATAACCCAGTTGTAAAGATTTCCAGAAAGTAGCAATCTGGTAGCAATTTTAGTGGTGTTTATACTTAATATCAGACATGCTGACATATTATGACCACATATCAGCTTAATATATCAGAAAAGTAAAGGCCAAACACTTGGTAATGGCTAAGGAATTGTAAATACATGTCTTGGGAGGAAATTACAAGGCTATAGGGCAGAGACATCAAATGGGTTTCAATATCTAATACCAATTTTAGGTAGTTGCTGCCAAGTCATTGTGTTGAGAATTTTGAGGATTAAGTTAGTGGTTTGGGAGACACTGAATTATGCTATGATCTAAAAGCAATGACTGCCCTGGGAAGGCGGGGAGGGACTGACTTGCTCTCTTCTAGGTTTGGGGTCTTAAATGTGACTCAAGACAATGGGAGTCTCACTGTCAGGGTCCTGCCATCTCATGTCCCTGTTTCTTGCTGTGCATCTGCTTCATTCTCTCTCTGAAAACTGGTTCCCCGACCCCAGACTCACCCTGACCCTGTGCATGATGCAGGAGATGCTGCCCTTACATCACTTGAGTTTACTGTCAACAGTACAAGTAAGTAGCAGAGACTTAGTGGTTCTCATTTGCAAAGAACAGAGACAGTCTCTACTAAATTCAAGCTGAAAAACAATTTAACGGAGGAAGTTCAGAGAATGGACAGGAAGATTGGTGAAGTATGCTCAGGCAGGAACCAAGGAAGGAGGGGCAGAGTCCAGGTTCTTCCACAGGGATGGTCTGCTTAGACTATCAACACAGACAGAACACTTGTTGCCGACTGCTACTGGACTCTCCTACCCTGGACACTCACCTTCTGCCACTGGTCTCTCAGCTCCACCACAACCACCATTAATAATGAGTCACTTTTGTGACACTCCCTTAAAATTCAAAATTTCTGAGAGTAGCAGTACTCAGATCATAGGGCTACAATCCAGCTACAGTTAGAGGATTGATTCTCAGAGAGGAGGAACTTGGGTTAAACATACACCGTCAAAAGGTATCCACGGCATGCTATATTCTGCTAGGTAGAGGGCAAGTGAGATGTCAAGTACCATTCAGCTTAGAAACTTCTGTCCCAGAACAGAGTGAGGAGCCAAGTTGAGAGCATGAAAGTTTGAAGTTATGGATAAGGCTACCTAGAACTAGGCAAATAGTTACCTTGAAGAGCTGGATCTGAAATCAGGGACTTTGCTAGATATAAACGGCACAGGACAAAATTGAGGGAAAACCAGAAAGAACTAAAGTCAGAAGTAAACAAAGAGATGACCCCAAAGTGGATTCCAATAGCAAAGACTTCAAAAAAATAGTCCTGGAATTAGGGAGGCACATAAAACACAGGTGGAATTCTCAGATTGTAGACAAGGTAGCCATGAGTTAGAAGCTGGAGAGTGCAGCAAAACAGAGCAAAAAAAAAAAAAATGGGCTGGAATTGCTAAAGCTCATGTAAGACCGCCATTTCTTATACCTATTCATTGTAGGATGTGTCCTTATACATCCAATGAATTGGATTTCTTAAGACAACCCTTACCCAGTTGAGGGAAAAGTAAAATCTGTAATATACAAGCATCAGCCCTTGAGGCAATGAAGGCATCAGGAACATTCAGAAATTAATGGCTTACTATATACCTCTCCACTAAACTTAGCACAATGAGCCTAACGTTTAAGGATGAATACTTTTCTTTTGCCTCATCCTCCAAATCTTTGCTTAGAGGGGTCCTCATAGTCTTCCTAACTAGGACTATGAGCAGTTTGGCCAGGTAGAGGAGGCAAGGCTAGTGTGGTACAGGTAACTTTTGGCATTGAGTGGAGTGAGGAGATCCAGGCTTTGAGTGGTTAGTACAAGTCCAGTGGAAGACATGTGGGGGGTAGGATGGGGTAGTGGGATAGTTTTTAGAGAGCAGAGACCAGTGCATGCACCCTGCATAGGACTGTTGGCTTTCTGGATGTCAGAATCATCACAGCTTCAGTGAGGGATGCAGCAGCAGCAGATTACTGACAGCAGGTAGGAGAGGTTTATCCTAAACACTAACATTTCCTGGCAAAATCACACATTCCAGGGTGAGAGCAAGTATGTTCCAGCTAAACTCCAAATTTTTCAAACTTCCAAAAAATTGTAGCATTAATAAACTTAAATGATGCATTTCACTTTTCTAGAGATTTAACATTTTTCATTGTTTCAAACTTTCCCTTAGCTTTTTCACCCAGCAGACTCTCCCAGGGATTCGAAGACTTGAGTATCTTATCACTCAACACACACCCCCCAAACCTCTACGCTATGTGTGAGGGTCAAAGATGTGCTTCTTTGGCCATTTCATGAGCAGATTTTTACTTAAATAATTTCTATTCTACCAAATTAAGCGAGACTACAGATTCCTTCTCTCCTTTTTGTGTTTTGTTTTGCTTTTTAGTGTTTTAAACATCCCTGGAAATAAGTGAGCCATTGAGCCTAAATCTGAAGTCTTCAGGTTATTTACAGACTGAAGCTTGGGATTGTATAATGAATATTCCAAAAAAGAAAACAGAGAATGAGGTAATAAAAAAAATCAAAATGAGGGTGGACAGAAGAAAACTCAATGATGAGTTAATATAACCTATAACATGTAGGAGAGATTTTGACCCTCTCCCACCTTTCAAACGAGATACAGAATATCTTCAAAGCTACTTCACCCCTTAACTGGAGTAAATTAGTATTTTAGAGTTGATTTTTTTGAGGCTGAGAGTTTATAACTACAACAATATTACCTCTATTTTACTTATAAATTTAGAAAAGAAATAGTCCAAGGAATTTATTTTCTAGTGTAAAAAAAAAAAAAAGCTGAACATAAATCTACATGAAAATTTAACGCCTAAGACAGTCAATGGCAAGTAAAGTTTTAGTAGCTAAATCAAATAAAGTGCCGTTCCGTTATGGGTATGTTTTTGTTAATGTAAATACCTATGCCAACCTTTAGTTCATTTAGTGAGCTGAAGAAAAAATTCCTCAAACCCTTATATGCATTTCCTGAGTTCCTAGAATACCAGAATACTGACACTATTTCATATCTGTGGATGATTGAATTTCGCTAAAAACCACAAAGGAAACCAACAGTCCCACAATAATAGTTCTGATAACTCTGCCAGAAGAAATACAAAGAGGAAGTTAATATGAGTGTGACAGGGCAGAAGTGATTTCAGCAGAAAACGCTCAATATTCAACCATTCCAATCTTGACTAATCCTCGTCTTTATCCCAGTTCTCTCTGGATCCTCTCCCTTCTCCAGCGACTGGCCAAGGCAAATAGGAAAGGTGCCTGGATTCAGATGAGCAGGATTCTAGTTGTGGCTGCTCCACTTTCAGGGTCTCAGCCTCAGTTTACATAGCTGTCAAACAAGATATCTCCCTGGGATTTTACCAGGATGTGTAAAAATACGCTGTCCCAAGATAAGCCAAAGCCACCATCAATGGGAGAGTTGCCAACAAAACTCGGCTTCGGTTCCCTCTACCGACAAGGCTGGTTAGATCTACAGTCAACAGGAAGCTCCTGGGGCTGAGACAGATTCGTAAGGAGGCCAGACGTGAGTGGTTTTTGGACGATGATCAGGCTGGTGATGAGGGTGTTAGTAACGTCCCCCCTCCCCGGCTCACGCGGCTGGGCTGAGATTTTACTATAAACGACAATGGGTGCGGAAGCATAGTACTGAGAAGCAAACAGCCAACCAAAAACACTCAAGCTTGTCCTCCCTCACAAAAGCAATCAAAGCCCCAAAGCCCTCGGCACGACAGAGAGCGGGTCGAAGGGAAAGGTGAACAGCAGAGGGGGCAGAATCCGCGCCCCTAACTCCATCTCCCGCAGCAGCCGGGTCGGCGGCCGCCGGGTCCGCAGGGCTGGGAGGGGCGCTGTGGGCCGGCTCTCCGCGTGCAGAAGAGCCCCCTCTTCACGCCCCCTCTG